GTGGCTTTTTTGCCTGGGGCGGCAAAAAAAGCCAGAGCCGGCCCTGGCAGATCCAGCGACCTGCCATGACCTTGGTTTTGGCTGGCTGAGTGTTTAACCCAGAAGGACGTTCTGTGCTCCCCAGAAGTGCCCTAAGCCGTTCCCATTGGCCCTGTCAGCTGTTTTCGGGGAGACTGCCCTTGTCAGCAGTAGTTCACATCTCTTCTTCCCAGTAGGAGGGACTGTGGTACATCAGCTTTGCCTTGCCAACAATGGGCAGTCCAGGTAGTTCATCTCTTCTCTCACCAGCAGGTGGCAGTATAGTTGGCTTGTTCACCAGAATTTTTGTTTATCCCAATGGCATCTGAATAGCCTAAAAATCAGAGTATGTATAGTGACCTTTGTTTCTGAGTTGGATCTGAATTTGGGAGGTGGGTGGGGGGCTTAGTCTCCTTCCCTCCTGCCACGGTCAGGTCGGATACCTGGTGCAATTTGAGGTGAGTGCCACCCAGCCACTAGGTCACCATGTGGCCCATGATGAGTTGGGTTAACTCCCATCGTCCGCTCTGTCTCATAAGATCAATCAATACATTTGAATAACGCACCAACTCTGAATTTCTCCAGCCACCTTCACCTCAAAGGATCCCAAGGCACAGGAGTGTTTATTTCTGTACGGGGATCGCTCTCCCCCGGCAATGTGAAGCCTGCGCATTACTGAGGGCTCTTCATTGCCTTGCTGGTTTCTGGTGTTGGGTTTAGTAGGAAACGTGCCGCGTGTTTCTCTGCTCTACCCCGGGATAGAGGTGAACTCCTTCACGTTCTCATGGGCCTGACTCCTGCCTTCTCTCTAGGAACAAACGAGCCATTCCCAGGAAGGCTCTGGAAGGGTTTTGGCTGCGAGAAGGCAGAGCACAGAGCATACGGATGAGGTGAGACTGGGGTGGTGGTGGGGTATGAATTCCCTGCCCTTGGAAGGGATTTCACTTACCTACCTACTGTATTCTCCCTTGCCCCCATTGACTTTAGGGCCAAATCCTGCTCCCATTAAAACAGATGCATAATGGAATTCCTCCCTTATGTGGAAGGGTGCAAGTGCTCTGCTCGCCAGTAGCCTAGCCCCGTTCTCTGCTGCCCTTTCTTTTGGCAGAGCATGGTGCTGGAATAACCAGGAGCTCTGCTGCCCTGCTCCCTCCAGCGCCACTTCTGGGCTACTCCGCTCTGAGACCACGCATCTGCCATGCTCCCTCCAGCGCCACCTCCTGGGAGTAGCTGGCAGCCTCCTCAGCTGTGTGCCCCTCACGTGGACTCCTGAGCCGTGGCCTCGCTGCCCCAGCTTGCTCACTTACAGCCTCCCCTGCCGGCGTGGGGCAGGAGGCCAGGTTACTCCTCGGCCTGTGGTGTTAATGGGCGTTTTCCTGCTCCCCAGGAGCAAGGCCAGGTGGCTGGTGCTGGGAGAAGGGAGCTGAGTGTGCAGTTTGGGGACAGCGCTGAGAGTGATGAAGGTTGGTGAGTGAGTCTCAGTCTTTGCTGCTGCCATTCCCGTTCCCTCGCAGAGCCCTGTCTGCTTTCTGTCCTTTCGTCTCCCTCCTTGATCCTTTTTCCCCCCTCTGTCTTCTGATCTCTCCCCTCCTTCCCCCCTTTACTCTTTTCTCTCTCTGTTCCCCTCCCCCTTTCCTGGGCCACTGGCCCATTCCTTTCCGTGCCCTGCAGAGTTTGGGGTGCCAATGGGGCAGGGGCCCATGCACTGCAGGCTGCCGGGAACGCCAGCTGCACTGGGCTGTGGCGTGAAGGGTCTGAACTTCGTTACATTCCTTCCTAGCCAACGTGGAACCCGGCCTGGACCCTCTCCCCTCCGTCCGACATCCCCCCCATCTCCCTCCTTAAGGCAGGAGGTGGATTAATCCATAGCTCCCACCCAGCGAAGGACCACTCTCTTCCCAATAACTCTCCCCTTTGCCCACCCAGTTTTCTGTGCTTGGAGCAGATGCGGGTGTTTAAAGATGTCTCTTGGGGCATGGATTGAACCCCTCCAAGCCGGAAGAGCGGCTTGAGTTTCCGAGGTGCCCCAAATCACACCGTTCTGGCCCCACCCCGGCATTCATGGGGCTTTGGACCAAGATACCTGCCTGGATTCTTGACTCCCTTACTTGGGGGTCAATCCTGCCAGGCCTTTGTTGCTTTCTCCCTGGGTCCCCTCTGGTTCCTAGGTATGTACGCATGTGAAGGAAAATCATCTCATGCGGCGTTTCCAAGCGTGGTGGGACCCTAGGCTGCCAGGCCTCTGCACACAGGGCCCGATATAGCATGATTCTAACTGGATTAGGATTAGCACCAGCAGAGCGCTGTTGGGTGGGATAATCTTTGGGTAAGAAGAGATCAGACGGGGGGAACTCAGAGTCCAGATAAAGCTTGGGAAAGGAGTCTCACACTTACGGATAGTTCAGTGAGGAGGATGGGCTATGCCCCCAACTGCCAGTACCCCTTCTCCATCCCCCACAATGAGGCCATCCCCCAGATCCAGAAAGCCCCCTGGACCCAGAGGGAGGGAGGTGGGATCGGTTGGCTGGAGGATCCTGTTGCCTTGAGAAGAGGGGAAATGGGCTATGGAAGAGAGTCAGAGGAGAGGAGCCTCAACAAGCTTTGGAGGGGGTATTACTTGTCTGAACGGGGCATTTTGGGCTTGGGGCCTGCCTTTGTGTGGGAGCCAACGTGCACCATGGTCCTCGGAGCTCTTGGCTGTGACATCTCACCAGTTGTTAGCCAGTGGCCGGGCCACTGAGCGGGGAAGCCCAGCATGACTCTCACCAAGGGAGGGTGGGATCTGTCCCAGTGATGCAAACGGATGGGCCATTCTCCTTCCCCCGCTGGGTAATTTGCTACCTGGGGCTGCTTTGCAGTCTAGGATACTTCCGTGGCTTCCGTTACCATAGCATCCTCACTGAGGCAGGGCTTTTGTCCCCTGCCGTTACCACAGCATCAGAGCGCCTCTGTCTTTACCGTATTTATCCCTGTGGTGGGGCAGGGCTGTTATCCCCATGGTACAGATGGGGGAACTGATGCACCGAGAGGCTAAATGACAAACCCAGGGCCACACAGGGAGTCGGTAGTAGAGCAGGGAACTGGGCCTGGGTATCCTGAGTCCCAGGCCAGTGCCCAAACTACTGTGGTCCTTAGGGTCTGTCCACACGGAGAGATAAGTGCAGCTTGTGCAGACATACTAGATAGAGCTAGTCTAGCTGATTTGAATACCAGTAGCAGTGAGGCTGTGGTAGTGTGGGCTTTGATGCAGGTTGGCTGCCCCTGGAATTACTCAGCAACCAGGGTAGGCTGGTACATCCTGCGCTGAAGCCCTGGCTGCTGTGGTCTTGCTACTCCGGCACCCAAGCTCTGGTCAAGTCCCCTGATTGTAGCGTGCACAGACGCTGAGTCACCTGGCCCCGTAGAGACCGTCAGGGAGTTACTGTTTCTCCTCCCTCCAGCTCCTCCTATCGTGCTCTCTGGGTTAACTGGGGCCCTTTTCCTCCCTAGATCCTGACCCTCCTGAGGACCCGCTGCTGAACTCTCTGCCTGAGCTCTCAGTGCTGGAGCGGCTGGGCCTGCACAGGTAGGACTCCTGCCCTTTCTCCTCCTCTGGGGTTAAACTCTGCTGTGTGCCCAAGACGCTGGAAGGTTTCAAGCTGTAGGCGAAGGTGACAGCGAGCTGGTGGCTGGGTGGGTCTTGCACAGGCAGCCATCAGAATAGCCAAGGTAGCTATGGGGTACACATCCTTTCATCTCTGGGTTGCTGGTTCAAATCCAGCGCAGGGGCCTCCTTCTCCTCCCGCAGCAGATGGGAGTTGCTCATATCCCGCAGGAGGCAGAATCAGGCCCTGGGTTGGCTATGACTGAGCAGTCCGCATTTCAGGGGAGATGTTCCCAGCAGACAGGTTGTCACGATGGGCATGAATTGCAGGAGGTGGCTGGCTGGTCTGTTTCATGGCCACTTCAGAGGGTTTTCGACTCGTTCTAGTTGGACTGAAACCCAAACCTGTGGAGACGAGACTGTGCCGGGGGTGAGGTACGTCCACATCAGTCACTTTATAGCCTGCTGGATATGGCCCTGGCCAGGGACGGGGGGAACCCAGGTTCAGGTCCCTGCACACACCCTTCCCCCCCGCAACAACTGTGAGTGAAATTAACAAGGATGCCAGAAACAGCTCCTAACCCCAGGGGCTGAACCGCTCAGGGAACAGCTGAGTTTAAACTGTTCTTATGCAGGAGGCAGGCTTCTCCCTCCCTCAGCCAGTCTCCCTGCTGCAAGCTAGAGGGAGTACCTGCAGCCGCTGCTGAGTGCCAGGCAGGGGGAAAGCACGGCCTAGCGTCGGCAGCCTGGCTGGAGGAGGAGGGAAGACATGGAGAAAAATGTGACAGTGAGTTTTCACTTTTTCAGGCTTATTCCAATATTAAAGTTTTATTACAGACAGTATTTTTAGTAGTAGTAGCAGCTTTATTTTCTATATCTATGTCATGCAATGGGAGGGATCCATGAAGTACGTAGGAGAGGTGGGTTGCTTGCTTCCTAGGGTTACCATCCGTCCGGATTCCCCCGGACATGTCCGGCTTTTTTCAGTTAAAAATAGCGTCCGGGGGGAATTTGTCAATGTCCAGACTTCCCCCGCCCCCCCCATGCAGAGCATGCGGGGTTTACAGGGCAGCCGGCCGGATGGTGCCACTCGCACGGGCTCCGGCAGCCAGAGCCCCTCCTCCACTTCCCCCCTCCTCTCTCTCCTGCAACTTGAGACCACTCCCCTCCTCTCCCTCCCTCCCCCCGCCCTGCATTCACAGATCGCCGGCAGTCTGGAGCTCT